ATGGCGTGAAGGGTTAGGGTTATCACTTTATGTGATAAGAATGGTTATATAATCCAAGAAAAACGATAATTCAAGGTGAAGGTAACAGCTTTCCACATAGGATTCTGTGCAACAGTTAAAATATAAGAAAATTAAATAATCATAAAACAAATACTACAAAACCACAAGAGACAACATGTTTAAAAGAGGGCAAGGCTAAAGAACTGCTAATACAAAGGACAAATAATTTAATTATGAGAGGAAAACCCTCTGGAAAAGAAAAGTTCTCATTTATGTAAGTTAGTGTGACGGGATGGTTGCCTCATACTGGAGCGGAAAGGGTTAAAACAGCTCTGGGAAAGGACCTATCCCAGGAACCAATCAGTAAAAAGTCAGAACCCAGTGGGGCTGAATAAAAAGATGGCTTCCCAGAAAGAAGTCACTCTTGCTCCAGCTTTGGAGAGAGATGAACTGAGCTGCCTGAGGCAAGGTTACCTTGGACAAAGCAATGCTGGGGAAGGGCAGTAGGACCTGGGGAGCTCTGGCCTGGTGAATTCCCAGCCTGAGGAGATACTAGGGGTGCATAGAAGCAGCCCAGGAAAGAAGAGGAAGAATGTCCACACCTCCCTTCTCATGAGAGGTGGCCACTTTAGACTGCAGTTTGCCCCTGAGGGAAGGGGTTAGATGACAAACAGCAGTGGTTATTGAGGTAAGAGGCGCTTAGTGGTAACTGATTCCCTGGGAGGGGAGGAACCAAGAACATGGGCAATGCAGCTGGGCAATACCCAGGGAAAGGAGGTACCATGGTCCACAAGGACATGGGTCCTGACAGAGTGCTGTGATGCAGATTTGGGGAGAAGCAGGTAATGGCAGGTGACACACCGGAAAGAGGAGGACCTCCCGAACTGCAAGAGCTAATTCCAGAAAAAACCAGCAGGGGGCACAAGGGTGGTGAGTGCAAACATGTAACAATTAGCTTTGGGATGGTCAGAGGTTGACATCCAGGAACAGCAAATACCACATGCTAATGCCCATCAGAAACACTTAGTCATGGGCTAATCTGCGTGAGATGGTAGAAGTTTGCTGGTGTTATAGAAGACACCCCCCACCTTGCCCAAGCTTGTGGTTCAATCTTGAATAAGACAGATGGATGTCCTAATTAGATCAGGTTAATACAGTTCAGATGTTAGAAGAAAAGCCTGAGAACACATCAAAAGCAAATGTTGGGACGAATTCAAGCATTCAAATTAGGGATGTAATAGTATGGATGATTAATTGATTAACCGATACACAGAAGCATATCAGTTAATGCTACAGACTACATGCATTCCCTGCCCCCCCACGCAAGTAAATTTTTTTTTAGAAACCTACCCCTGCTGCAGTTCTGCATTTAAAGTGTATTAGGAGCTAGGTGGCCAGGAAGTCCAGCTTGCACCAGGTCTGGGAACTGAGACCTGACGGGCTGCTGCCACCCCATGCTGCTGCTTCTGTATCAGAGGCAGCAGCACGGGGCAACAGGCAGCCAGTTTGCGAGGGGAGTTGGTTTTTAAACTGGCTCCCCTTGTGGACCAGTACCTACCTGTCACTCCGGGCAGCAGTAAAGAATGGCAGGAGGCTCCAAGATCTCTCTCGAATGGCTGTAGCTAAATTAATCCCCACCATATAGTATGTATAGTTGAGATTAGGAATGTTAACTATCAGTTATTTTACTAGTCGCGTAGTTGATGGAATTTCCATTGACTACTCGACTAGTCAATAGGCACTTCCGCATTTCTCCTTTGAAATGTACAACTCCAGGTGCACCCCAGAGCCAGCAGGAAGTCTCACTGACTAGGGGCTGCATGCTACACGCCAGCTTTGAAATGTACAAGAGTTCCCAGCAGGGGCTCTTGTTCATTTCAAAGTGGCAGCATACCATGGAGTCTGGGGCCAGTTGGGAGACTCGTCAGCGGAACCTGGGATCAGTTGGGATCATCCCAACTGACTGTGGTTCCATGCAGCATTTCCCCAAAACCTCGGATCAACTGGGGACTTCCCAGCTTATCCTGGGCTCTGTAGAAATGCTGCACTGGAGCCCAGGTTCAGCTGGGGAGCCCCAAACTGACCCCGGGCTCCACGCACGGCAACAGCCACACAGCTGATCCTGGGCTCAGCTATGTGGTGATGCTGCTTTGAAACGGTGAGGTGTTTCAAAGGGGCATCCACACAGCTGATCCCTGGCTCAGCTGTGCAGCGCTGTCCCTTTGAAGTATCCTTTCTTTCCCCCCCTTTGCTGCCTCTATCTGATAGAGGAAGCCGGGGGGTGGGAGGTGGGGGGAAGGGATCGACTAGTCCTTAACATCCCTAGTTGGGATTATTTTTTCCATTGTGCATTACTTTACATTTATCATCATTCAATTTCATTCGCTATTTTGTTGCCCAACCACTTAGTTTGGTGAGATCTTTTTGAAGCTCTTCACAGTCTGCTGTGATTTTAAGTATCTTGAGATGTTTGGTATGATCTGCAAATTTTATCACTTCACTGTTTACCCTTTTCTCTAGATCAGGGCTACTCAACTTTGGAAGCTTCTGAGGCCACAATGTACTCACACCACATGCCAAGGGCCATCACTTAAGTGTGGTTGCAAATATATATGCAAATAGCTTCTTTCACACTGATGGGCATGAATACAAAGGTTAAGGTAAGACTACACAACACATAGGCCCCATTTAAGTCAATTCTGCTGATATTAATAAAATGCAATATTTACCTAATTTTCACCAACACAACAGCACTTTTAATGAGCAATGACAGTCCAGAAATTGAACTACTAAAACGCATATCAGCATACCATTATAGTGACTACTTTTTTTGTTTTGGCTCCCACCTGCAGGTCGTGTGTTGAGCCCTGCATAAACCCAAATTGCACCGTGGGCCGCAAATAAACGGGCTGCAGGCCACATACGGCCCATGGGCCATGTGTTGAGTAGCCCTGCTCTAGATCATTTATTAATAAGTTGAATAGGATTGGTCCCAGGACAGACCCTTGAGGGACCCCACTAGTTACCTCTCTCCACTCTGAAAATATACTATTTATTCTTACCCTTTGCTTTCTGTCTTTTAACCAGTTATCAGTCCATGAAAGGACCTTCCCTCTTATTCCATGACAATTTGCTTTACTTAAGAGCCTTTGGTGAGAGACCTTGTCAAAAGCTTTCTGGAAATCTAAGTATACTATATACACTGGATCCCTCTCGTCCACATATTTGTTGACCCCCCTCACAGAACTCTAGTATATTAGTAAGGTACGATTTCCCTTCACAGAAACTATGTTGACTTTCCCTCAACAAATTATGTTAATCTATATGTCTGACAATTTTATTCTTTACTATCGTTTCAACTAATTTGACTGGTACTGATATTAGACATACCAGTCCGTAATTGCAAGGATCACCGCTAGAGCCCTTTTAAAATATTGGCCTAACGTTCACTATCTTCCAGTCATTAGGTATAGAAGATGATTTAAAGGATAGGTTAGAAACCACAGTTAACAGTTCCATGATTTCACATTTGAGTTCTTTCAGAACTCTTGATGAGTGCCTTCTGGTCCCGGTGACGTGTTACTGGTAAGTTTATCAATTTGTTTCAAAACCTCCTCTAATGATACCTCAATGTGTGACAATTCCTCAGATTTGTCACCTAAAAAGAATGGCTCAGGTTTGGGAATCTCTCCAATATCCTCAGACACGAAGACTGAGGCAAAAAATTCATTTAGCTTCTCTGCAATCATCTTCGAGTGCTCCTTTAGCATCTTGATCATCAAAGAGCTGATTACTCCTACATACCATAGGTGTACCTGGATTAGGGACACCCAACATACAGAGGTTCAAGCGAATTCAGAATTTAAAATAATGTAGAATGAATGATTCTACTTTTTATAGAAACATAGTCGGAGTTTCTTATGATTAAGGCATTGGACTGGGAGCTAAGATTATGTAGTTATGCCACACTGTGTGTAACTTTATGATAATTACTTAACCCATTTCCCTCTCTGTAAAATGGAGGTAGTACTTGTAGGGTATTGAAAGTATGGACTGCTCAGATACTACAGTGGTGAATACTATAGAGAGTATATGAAGCAGTAACTTGGGCCCAATTCCCAGCTGAGTCACAGACTTCTTCTGTGAACTTGGGCAAATCACTTGACTTCTCTCATTTCCACAACTGTAATATGAAAATAACATTTCTTTTCTCCCATCCTGTATATGTAGACTGCAAGGTCTTCATAGGAAGGAGTATATTTTACCATGTGTATGTGCTAGAGTTAGCACAATTGGGGCATTTAATGTCAGTTGAGATCTCCAGGAACTTCTGTAATACAAACAATAATTATTATACTAGTACTCCATAGTCTTCATTGGTTGCACATTCATATTTGGGTAGAATTTCAGGTTTTGGCTATGCCCTATGAAGTCCTGACTGGTTTGAGCCTATACACCAAATAAACCACCTCTGTCAAAATTTAAACGCACTGCATTTACAATGAGAAACACTCAGGTTATTAGCTATCTAGTCTGAAAGAGATTTCACTCTGTTTTACAGAAAGAGTCTTCAACTTTGAAATTCACTCCCTTTTGTAGTCCACAACAGTTTGTAGACCTACAATGGTACTCATCTACTTTGGTGTGGTGAGCGTTAGGGAGAAAAGGAAGTTTATTGTATTGTATTCATTCCTTGTTTCTATTTTATGAGCAGGTGTTGGCTGGGAAGGAGCAAGTGCCTCCCAGGACACACAAGGAGGCAAAAATCCCTGCCTCACAGGGCTTACAATGTACTATTAAATGTGATATAACGCACAAAAGCAAGAAAGAGTACGGAGAGGAAAGGGTGAGGATGCATATTCATTGCATCAGCAAATTAGAGGTTACTTAGTTTACTTGTGTACATGTACTATATTAATATGTTTTAGCAAAACACTAAATACATAGAAATAACTACTTCTCTTTTAAGGCCTGTTATACGATGGCATAACTTTACTCACCTCCACATAAGAAATGGGAAATATCCCTATCTTGTCAGCCAGCATTCCTTCAGCCCAGTTTTCATCTACTCGGCGAATCACAGTCAGCACATCATCCTGTACAAACATGTAGTAATTATTATTCCAAGCTCTAATTAAGCTATTCATTTGATTTATCTCAATAATACAATCATCATCAAACAAAGGGGTTCATGAAGAAGAATTTCATAGCTGGAGCTTCACAATGAACTTGCAATTTTGGAATTCACATTTCTAGTAGAGCTTCCTCATCTTGGTCAAATCCTGTACAGTAGCCCAAGAACCCATCTCAATCAAATATTTGGGCTTCTTTTAAGTCACAGACTGCCTGTTTTGCCAACTCTAATGTATTTGATCAATCCCTGAATTGAATCTCAAACTCTTCTTACTTAAAAGCTAGCTTGTTGTACTCTATTCTCAGCTGTTGCTTTTCTATTCATGTAAGAACATTATAAAACTTATCAGTTCTAATACAAAATTTTAGTTTTAAGCGTGGTTGCAAAGAAGATATTTGCTTATTACGTTTATATGCCCTACAAACAAAATTAACACTTAATTCAGGGGTGGGCAATAATTTTTGGTTGGGGGGGCCATTCCAAGGTTTTGGAAAGTGGTCAAGCACTGCATATTTCTGTGGAGGAGATGCAGAGTCTAGGATGGAGGTTGGGTGCAGAAGGGCACACGGGATAAGGGACTGGAGTGCAGGAGATGGTGTGAGGTCTGAGAGGGAGTTTGGATGAAGGAGGGAATTGTGACCTGGGTTAGGAGATGGGAGTATAGGATCAGGGAGGGAGTGGGGATGCAGAAGAGGATTCTGGCCTGGGGGAAGATTGTAGGATGGGGTGCATGGTCGGTGAGGGAGTTGTGACTAGTGTCAGGGAGGGTGCAGAGGGTTTGGAAGGTGGCTTGGGGGAGGAAGCTGGGGTGCGGGAGGAGCAGGGATGCGAGAGGCAGACTTTGGTTGGGAGGTGCTTACCCCAAAGCAGGCTGGGCTGGATCTGGTGGCTATCTTGTCCACCCCAAATGTAATTGAAAGACTCAGAAATGCTAGGAAACACTTGCATTGATATAAAATTGATGACACACAATTTGAAAATCACACATAATGCTTAAAAATCAATGCTGTAGTGCAATATAATAACTAGTACTGATTATATCCCTAGGAACACTAACATTTTGTTCAGTAAAAGCCATTTTCTGTTCACATGTACTTGCACCCATCTCATAAAATGGAGAACTAAATATTTAAGGCCTCTTGCTTTTATAATTTCAGATGCCCTTCCCATTTTTAATAGCTGAGGGATGTAAAGACATCTAACTAGTTCACATGTCTGATCTTGTAACATTCTTTTAAGCTGTCTGGCAAAGTTAACATACTAAAAGCTGTACGCAACTGAAACAACAGCCCCAAGCTATGGTTAAGTGTGTTTTTAAAAGAACTCTTCATAATCCTAATATTCCTATTAAAAACCTCACATAATTTCATGCCTTCTTAGACAGAAAAATAACTCAAATAGGAACAAAAGGAACTGACTTTTCCTAAATCATAGAATCATAGAACTGGAAGGGATCTCAAGAGATCATCAAGTTGAGTCCCCTGCCCTCTCTGCAGGACTAAGTACCGTCTAAATCATTCTTGATAGATGTCTATCCAACCTGCTCTTAAATATCTCCAGATTCCTTTGGCAATTTATTACAGTGTTTAATCACCCTGACAGGAAGTTTTTCCAAATGTCCAATCTAAACCTCCCTTGTTGCAATTTAAGCCCACTGCTTCTTGTCCTATCATCAGAGACCAAAGAGAAAAATTTTTCTCCCTCCTCTTTGTAACACCCTTTTAGGTATTTGAAAGCTGCTATCATGTCTTCTCTCAGTCTTTTCTCTTCCAAACTAAACAAACCCAAATCTTCCAGTCTTCTCAAATAGGTCATCTTTCCTAGACCTTTAATCATGTTTGTTGCTCTTCTCTAGACCTTCTCCAATTTCTCTACATCTTTCTTGAGATGTGGTACCCAGAACTGGATGCAATACTCCAACTGAAGCCTAATCAGTGCAGAGTAGAGAGGAAGAATGACTTCCTGTATCTTGCTCAAAACACTCCTTGAATCCTGTTTGCATGCCAGAATCATGTTTGCTTTTTTTGCAACTGTGTCACACTGTTGACTCATATTTAGCTGGTGGTCAACTATAACCCATAGATTCCTTTCTGAAATATTCCTTCCTAGACAGTCACTTCCCATTCTGTACGTGTGAAATTGATTGTTCTTTCCTAAGTGGAGCACTTTACATTTGTCCTTATTAAACTTCATCCTATTTACCTTAGACCAGCGTTTCTGAAACTATGTGCCGCGGCCCGATACCAGCCCGTGGGAAAGAAATATCAGGCCTCAGCATGGCTGCTGGGAGGGCAGTGGGGTGACCTGGGAGGAGGTGTGTGTGGGGGGGAAACTGGCTGCCAGGAAGCAGAGTTGGGGGCAGCGGGGCTGTCTGGCAGAGATTGGGGGGGAGGGAGAGGGGAGGCCAGGAGGGTGGCCGGCAGAAGCAGGGCTGTATGGGGGATGGGGATGGGGTGGGGAGCTGGCCGGGGGAGATCGGGAGGAGGAGGATGAGAGAACCAACCTCCGGAAGCAGGACTGGATGGGGGCAGCAGGGCTAGCCAGGGAAGATCAGGAGGAGTAGCGGGGGAGAATCGGCTGGCT